CCATCGGAGGGGGGGGGTGAGGTTTGGGGGAGCGTGGCGTGTCTGCAGCTGTCCCTCAAGGCAAAGTGGGGCATCAGCCTATACCTGTAAGGGGGCTGCTAGGGGGCACGGGGGAAATAAGGACAGAGATGGGGAAGGTGTGAGGAGGGCCTGGGGCGCGCCGAAGGGCAGGCAGAGGGTACAGCACGCCTCCAGCGCAGCTTGAGGTTCGACTGTGCTCAGCCCCAGGGGTGCCCCCAATAGCTCTCCAGCCCTTAACTCTGGGGTGGGGGACAGCAGGCCACCCCCGAGCCCCCAGTTCCCACCCAATTCGCTTCTCCAGCCCTGCCTGCCTTCCCTCCAGCTCTGCTGCGCCTCTCCCGCTTCCATCCATCCCATTTCTCCCTCCTTTCGCATCTCCCTCTGTGCATGCCCCCAGATAACACCCTTGCCTGTCCCCATCATCCGCCATGGGATCCCTCTCTCTGGGGTACTGGGCGGCTGGAAGAAGAGAGCGGTGCCGTGCGGGTGTCAGATGGGATGGAGCCGGCCCTGGAAAGATCCCTGGGGAGGCGATGGTGGGAAAAGAAGCAGGGGAGGGGGCCCTGGGGAGCCCGCAGCCCCCGCCAGCAGGAGGAGGGCCCGTGGCCTCCCCCTTGCTAGCTCCTAAAGGATAAAGCCTTCGCCTGAACAGGGGCTTGAACCCTGGACCCTCAGATTAAAAGTCTGATGCTCTCCCAGCTGAGCTATCCAGGCTCACGTTGGGGGTTCTGGGGGATGTTCGAGACAGGCAGTGAGGACCCCGCTTCACTGCGTCACTGAAGGGACAACACGGGAACTCGCTTTGACCTCTTCCACCCCCACCCCACCCCAACGAAGCCACCACAGTGGAGGGTAGCCTCCCACGAGGAGGAGCACCACCGGGACCTCCACCCTGCCCTGGCAGGCATAAACGCCAGGTTTATCCTCTCGGGGACAGCCAAAAGCCAGAGCGACGAGGCAGAGGAGGAGGAGAGCCCGGCCAGGGCTGTGGGTGCCGATCCCAGCAGCCTGGGAAAATAATAACCCAGCGGCAGCGGGCTCTAAACGTGATTTTCCGGAGACCAGCACCCAGCGCCAGCTCCTCAACCCGCTCAGCCGCGCCGCCTGCACACGCCGGGCTCAGCACCCGGCTTCTGGGCACGGGCTGGACCGGCCTCCCACCGGGGGACTGATCCTGACACAGGGACGCGCCCCGGGAAAGTGCCAGTGCCGTAGGGATGCGCCCGCGGGGAGGGCGAGCGGGGTGCCGTCGGGGGGGGCTGTAAAACCTCCGCCGCCCCCCCACCGCTCCCCGAGGGAGGCAGGGGGGATCCGGCCGGAGGAGAGCAGCGGCGGCGCGGGGCCCCCCGCTCGGTGGCTGTGATCGTATAGTGGTCAGTACTCTGCGTTGTGGCCGCAGCAACCTCGGTTCGAATCCGAGTCACAGCAGCGCTTTTGCCACCAGCCCGGCGCTCGGAAAGGCCGGGCTGAAGACGCGAGGGAGGCGGCGGCGGCAAGGAGGTTGGTTTGCAGAGACGCCGTGCCCTAGGAGGGGGCCACGAGCTCGGATCGGCTCCTGAAGGCCACCCTTCCTTTTCTCTTGCCCTTCATCCCAGTTCTGCGGGACGGGGACCCTCTGCTCCACGGGGAACCCACCCTGCCAGCCCGGCCCGGCCCAGCCCAGCTCAGAAGGGGCTGCGGAAGATTAAAGCCAACCCGAAATGCTCACGGCGTGGGGGAGAGCCACGGGGAGGGCCCGGTGCTGCAGAGAGCCTTGCGAGGCCGCTTCAAACACCTCGCGTGCGCTAATTGGCTTCGTTACGAGCAACTAGCGAGAGCGTCTGCCCCCCTCTCCTGAAGGGACTGGGCACAGGTTTAGTGAGCCGGGGGAAAGGAGGGGCGACCGCCTGCCTCAGGAAAGCCTTAGAAGGGAGAGCAGAGCTTGGCACGTACGGTGAGCGGGGTGCGGAGATGTTGACTGAATAAGGCCACGAGCTTAATTATCCCGATTAATTAGAGCCCGCTGCTTTTAACCCATGTCTGGTGGTGTGACCCCGCCGGTGCACCAAGACACGGCCCCGCGGCAGCCACAGGGGCACCGGAGCCCCCCCGAGGTGCACCAGGAGCTGGGTGGGGACGCCTGGGCGGCGGGGAAAAGCCCCCGGAGGCCCCAGGGTGGAGCAGAGGCCGTGGGGTGCAGAGGCCCGATGAGGCCCCCAGACCCCACAAAGACATTTGGTGGTCCCTGGATCCCCCAGAGAGGCGCTGTAAGGCCCCCAGACCCCTCAGAAAGGTGCTCGGAGGCTCCCAAATCCCTCAGAAAGGCCCTACGAGGGCCCCAGGCCCCTCAGAGAGACACACAGAGACCCCCAGCCCCC